CCGGGTTTCTGTCTCTGCACGGATTTACGGAACGTCCGGACACTTCGCTTCGCTTTCAGATACGAGGAGGAGATCGAGAGACCGATGAAGCGCCACTGCTCGGAGCAGGCGATCGCGGAGGTGACGTCCTGGGAGGATAGGACTCAGGAGATGGTCAGGTACCACGAGCTGCAGCCTCCCCTACCGCCGGTCCAGTACATATCCGCCCATAACTCGCACCATTCGCACGCGAGTACGCAGATGGGCCATCCGCACGTGTCCACGCCCTACGCGCAGTATGCGCATCGCTACGTGTCCGGCATTGAGACGTGGCCGAATTATATGTAGACCAAAGCGAGAGGTAAACATGCCCGATATATATTTCTTCCTTACGCGGCGCCGAGAGGCCGCGCCACGCTGTCGTCGAATCGTCCGATTTTTACGTATCTATATTAAGTGATCGTGAAAAAAAAAGGATTCGCGTAAACCGTTCCCGGATCAGCCGCGAAATATATTCGAGAGATAAGTTTTTGGAATTTGACAAACTCCGCAATTCTCCCTGGTCGACGCGACGTGCCGATAAAGAGGCGTCGGTCGTCTTACAGTTTCTAAATTTTCACTTATTAAATGTACCGAAGGTCAAAGTCGTACAATTATCGAAATTGTTCTGAAATTGTTTTGAAAATCGCAAACTTATTTCCGGCAATTTTTTTGCAAATTATTTACGTAGGCGATATTATTTTTACCATACCGTCGTATTTCTTAAAAAATTCTTATTGAAGAAAAATCGGCGCCGAGTCAAAAGTCCTTGAGGAATTTGTCTACATACGAAATATTTTTTGACAGATCCGGAATACCCCTGTAGATAACGACGCTGATAAAGTTATGTACGTATAACGCGTCGCGTAAAGTAAGGCAAAGTAAAATAAAAAAAGACTATTTTATTACGTCGTCTATTTTGTTACAGCGATCTATAGTTGCTTGTATAAATGAAAATTATTGTAGAATGGAAATGATTGTATAAATGAATTGTGATCGGATCAGTCGCCGCGGTGTTAGAGCCCCGCGATGTTTCCGGGCCGTACGGAGCCCCCTCCCCCCAGGGATAGCCAAATACAACGTAATTAACCATTAATTACAAAGATTCACCTTATTAATATTAATAGTACGTCTGATCGCGAATTATATGCGGGATACGCGGCTAACAATAATAGCGCGATCTTCGTGTGATAAAGTTTGTAATTAGTGTAACGCAAATATCTCGGGTTGTTTTCATTCGTGTCAATCTTAAATCGGCGTTTCTCCCTCAAAAAGGAACTATACCGACTATGTCGTCATTGATGTTTGACGGCCCGATCGCGAGTTTGTGAAGGAATTGAAATAGATGGGAAGAAACGGAACTGTCGGTACATACGAGAGTCATGACTTTGAGCCTTACAAGAGCCTTGCTTGAAAGTCGCGCAAATTACTCTTATCTCTCTAATACCGCAATTTCGGTATCGCGACGATTACGCGCAAACGCTGGCGTAACATCCGCTTTAATTATAAACTAAAATAAGCTGAAATGCAAGCTGGCTCGTGGCACATTTCGAAAACTGATCAGATAACACACATTTCGAAGTCAAGTGCATGACATTTAACATTTATGTAAATTTATTAACATAGTAAATATCTCGAAACAAGCATTTCGTAGATTTTCGCGAATTTGATGCGGCTTTTATACCTTTCTCTTCCTAATTTTGGGACACGCGAAGAGAAGATATACATACATAGAGTGCAGAATCGAGTGCGCTAAAAACTTTGTTATAGTCGTATCTATCTAGAGATACTCGAGCCAGAGTCTGGCAGAATCAAATCGTTTGAGTTTCGGTTTTCCTGGGTTTTCAAAGCTTTTTAAAATATGCAGAATGACGGTTTACCTTTCTATCTATTTTTCTTCGGTTTAATATTTAGCTTTGAGTTAATTTTCTATCTTTATATTCAATTTCTTTTCGCTGTATTTGATGCATGCTCTTACTGAATTAAATTTTGATCCTCAGAAGAGATCGGCTCTCCTTCAAGCTAGAATCGAACTGTATGACGAATCAATGTAAGATTCAATATTCTACTTCACACGATTTACTGATACATAATTGTTGTTAACAAGAATTTGTCAACGGCAAATTTTCGTTGCTTTGCAATCCGAGAAACGGTCGCGCGCTTACGTGCCTCCTGACTCGACGCATGAAAATGGCGGATTGGCCATTCTCCGGCTTGAGAGTCTATACTAACGTGGACGAGGCGCGGCCACGATACTCACCATGACATCATTCCATGACAGCCGGCCATTCCAAAGCGCAGAATTTCAGGCCAAACAAACAGCGCGGCCGCTCGATATACACGGTGCCCGGCGCGGTGCGAGCGTTCCAAATGTAATAATATATATATAATATGTATATACATATATACGTACACGAGACGCGCACGCGGACGTTATAAACCGGCGATCGGCTCGCCGCACGCTCGCGCTCACGTCCCGTTCAAATAAACGGCTGAAACACGATCGAGGGTGGTAACAAATGTGCACTTGGCGGTTTCCGTTTAACGGACCGAGTATTTCGGGACCCGGAATTCGCGCGGTCGAGGATCGCGTCTCGACTGTCGCAGCTATGAAGAATCTTCGCGACGGAGTTAATTCTTTAAGAGCTTAAATTTTTTAATCGAGTACTTTTTATGAATCAGAGATTCAGTGATTCAGTCGCGAATCGTCCCTCGCTTTCGACGAGACCGAAATGGTATCTCCGATTTTTTAGCTCGACCGCAGACGATCGGATATATGTATATCGAGTACCGGACCGGACTGGCCTGATTATCGAGCGTGCAGCTATTGTAAATGAGCTTTACAGGCTCCATATTAAAAACACGTAGATCACATATACTATATACGTTATTAACACTTATAGTAGTTACTATACGCTGACACAGCCGTGCTTTTGTACTTAGATATTTATTCACCGCATTTTTACGTACAAGAATCGATAGAAAGCGTATAGGGTTGATGTTTCGGCGTAGCTGTGCACACTGAAGGGCGAAGCACTAAACCGTAATTTATAAGTGCGATGTACGCTAATTTTGTAGAAATAAAGCAACAAGAGAGACTAAAATCTGCCGCATTTAATATTATATCCTCTCGCTCTCCTAACTTTCCGGAAATTGTACCGATAATTCTTTTACATATTTCTAAAGATATATTATCATAAATATATTATTTATACGTTACGTAAAAATATTAGTGTTGTCTCACTTTATCACTGTTTCGTTTTGATTTATGATGCGATAATTTTAATTCATAGATTTTATAATGTTTTTTCGCTATATAACTTTCTCAGCTAAACTGGACATAATTTCTCACTTGCGAGGATTTTAGAGAATTTTGTGACTAACTTGTAAGAGGCTTGGCAAATCCGGCCAAATTCGCAGGACCGTGCGACCGAGGCCAACATGCGGAGCCTTATCTCTCTCTCTCTCTCGCCTCCTCGAATGATATTTGCAACGATACACGCGTAGCGAAATGAAATAGTACGCGGACTAGGTCACACGCGGTAACAACGCGCCTCAAATATTTGTCGAGCCCTTTACTTTCCCCTTTTTTAATGGCCCGAAAACCGCGAACGGGCCATTCTTTCGGTCGAGCAAACAGGGGGCTTATCGAAATTCACCCGGCGAGGGACGTGGGAATGTCACGATTTTTTATGCCCACTTATCCGCGTCTAAGAGATTAAAATAGAGAAGGTTGCACGTGTATTTCAACACGTGTGATTTGATGGAAATTATCACCTACAATTAGTTCAAGTGTGAATCTTCATAATTTTCGCGAATTCAAAATTTCCGTAAATTAAATTGTATTTTATTTACGAACAATTTGCGTAGACCGTCTCGAATCAGCCGCGAAATATTCGAGAGATATATTTCTCTATACTACTTTTCAGCTTATTATCGTAATTATTATTTATTCGTCAGAAACGAGATGCTTGAGTTCCTTCCCGTATATATAATTGTGAATTCTATATTTCTCTTGACATAGATATTTGTATTATAATTTTAATCTCACTGTTTTTCTGAGTTATGCCGAGTTTAGAGCTAAATTTAGAGCGGACGATTCCGTGGTGGAAAACAAGTCGGTAACTCGCGGCGATCGTTCTACGATGGGTTTCGTCGGGTTAGATCAACTCGCTTGACTTTTTTTCTCCTCGTCATCTCTCGGCGAAAGAAGAGACCGATGAGCTTGACGAGAGTCAGCCCTTCTACCATCCCGCCGTATCATCGTACGGCCGTCCGATTTTTTTCCCTCGCAGTCGTTGTCAGACATCGGGATTTCGATAAAGCACCGACGAGCGAGCTGATGCAGGCGGGAACGGAACAAACGACGGAAACGGCGCTTTCTTGACCCCTTGGCACACGATATAGAATTCCATGAACAGGACGAGGAGAGGATGTAGCCGGAGAAAACAATCGTGGAGTAAACGCGCGACAGTACCGCCCATTGAAGTGTTACGGGCAGCTGGGTGTCGGAAAGAGCCGCCATTTATACGGCTTTATCTATTTTAATTTCGTCGCGTATATATATGTATATTCGATTTACTGGAAGACGCGGTCGGTCTTTAACATCGAACGACTTCCGGGTGTTGGTTCCTAGAAATCATGAAATCCACGCCTATCTCGATACGCCTGTATGTACATCCGCATTTCTCTTTCTCTCTCTCTTTCTCTCTCTCTCTCTCTCTCTCTCTCTCTCTCTTCCCCACTCTCGTTCTTTCTTCTCCCTTTATGGTATTTTGGCAATAAACTTTAATAAAATAAATAAAATACTAGTAAATTTAACTAACAAATGTCTAAAATGTATTAACAACAATTTTTTAAATAAGTTTAATTTAATTTTACGAAACTTGCAAGCGGTATTTCATTTTCTTTAAGAAAGGTTTCGACCAAATTCCAATTAATTAAATCGATAATTAATTCAACAGCATATATAGTTGTTAATTTCAAACTATATAATTCATAACATTGATTTCAAACAATGTATGTATACAACAAAGAGCCAAATTTAGCTGAGGCTAGAGATATTGGTTACCCAATAATATTCTTAATTTAAAAATTTTTAAATTTAAGCTACTGTAAACTGCACGCCGATTGTTGTCGGTATTTAAGAAGGCAATCGTAATTTAATGCTAAATATTATATGTTAAAATTGATTTTAATTTTGATGATGATGCTACTACAAGCATCCTAAAGACACTGTAAAGAATTTATTGCGAAAAATATAACCAACCTGAAACCTTCCAATCCTATCGGGGAGGAGTCTTGTCTTATTCGACCATTATGAGGTTGTGGTAATATTTATCGCAATAACAGTCTAATCTCGGTAGAATTTGGCTTTTTCCCCTATTATTTTGTTTATAATTTGTCGTCCTTAATTTAATCTTTCTTGCTGTATCAAACAACAACAAAAAATAAAGAATTCTATCTGTATTAACAAAATATCCGCAAGTATCTAGAAGTATCATCCGCGGTTTTAGACTTTGTACTCGATGAAAATGATTTTAACGTGAGACAAAAATCATTGCTACTAAATGATATATGAACTTTTTAAACATGTATATCAATGTACTGACTTATGGTTGTAAAACTCGCACAGAAATGTGTTTTTTTATAATCCTATGTCCGATTTCATAAAGGACATTTC